GTGTAGCTCTTATTTGCTTATTTTGCTTTCATTTGGCATCCTAGAGATTAATTGACAAATATTTTCTCATTTAGATCTTTCAGATTGCTGCTCATTTGGTTTATTGGGGCAAGGCAATTATCATCTACCCACTGTGTGAGAACAATGTCTACATGCTGTCTCCGCATGCCAACATCTGCCTGTGAGTATCTGATGTGATATAAGCCAGCTGGGAAGAGTAAATGAAGCACACTAATGCTAAGCACTCATCCGTGGCATTTCCTCATATAGAGAGGCTTCCTGATCTGACTTACAACACTGTTTGGAATTAAATTTAAAAGATGTTCTGTGATGGAATAAGCTCTGTGTTGTTCTCTTCTCCCTGAATAGATATTCACCGTTGGCTGAGCAGTTTGCCCGGCAGTTTCCTGGTCATGATCTGCCCTCTATGTTAGCAAAGTTCTCACTGCCTGTCTCACTGGCTGAGTTTAGAAATCCCCTGGAAGCTCCCACACAGGAGGTGGGGGTTATTGCATGATGTGGAATACATGTGTGAAGCCTTTCAAAAGAGAAATACTTTTATTAAACCTGTGAAAATGTCCCAGTTTCTTTTCTTTTTTTTAATTTGCATGATTTCAGGCATGTTTAATGAAATAATCTGATGTATATCTATGTCCTGTAATATATAAATATATATGAAAACTGAACACAAACATAAGTTAGAATACTTATAATCCTTGAGGTGGGCCATCATTCTTCATCTTGTTCTGGCAGTGTAGGTCCTGATGAATTATTAATGGCAAAGGGACATCGTCTCTAGTGTATGCATCCTCCATTTTTCATGAGAACAGGATCAGACTCTTTCTTGTGGATCTATTTTAAAACATATTTGACCTGGTTACGTGAGCATTTTCCGATTCCCTTATTTCAGTTTATCCTAATGCAGTTTGCTGCTCTGCTGGTTAACCAGGCCCAGTTAATCCAGATGGTGGTTTGGATGCTGCAGCGCCGCCTCCTGATCCAGCTGCACACTTATGTGTGCTTGTTGGTACCACCCAGTGAGGATGAGCCTGGGCTGAAGGATGAAGACCCTCCGCTGGCTGCCCGACTAGGAGGTCGCAGTCTCAGTACCCCTAGTGCGCTCAGTTTTGGCTCACCGAGTATGTCCTCACGCCTCTACTCTTCTGCTCTTACGGCTCTAACTCGTTACTAGAAAATCTAACATTCTTCTTGTTTTGTGTAGCCAGCAGTGATGACATGACCCTAACCAGTCCCAGTATGGAAAACTCCAGTGCAGAGCTGCTAACTGGTGGAGACTCCCCACTCAACAAGAGGATGACTGAGACACTGCTCGCCAGCCTGTCAGAGCACGAGAGGCAGTTTATTCTTAACATCCCCGCTGCACAAAATCCAGAGGATCTGCGGATGTTTGCGAGGTGATTAAATCTGCCTTTAACTGACAACAGGACCATAGTGTGCTTGTTTTATTAAGTGTTCTTAAGGTTGTCATTGTTGTTTTTTGTTCAAACATGAGCGCGGTGTACATGGATGACATAAACTAACTGATTGCCTGCCTTTGCCTCATGCTTCTGTGTGTTTACCACAGCTACCTTTTAACCTATGACAGCTCAACAGAGAAATTATCTTAGAAATGAAATGTTTATGTCTCTCAATAGATAAAAAGTATTTGTTCAGTGGTTTGAATAAATCTACTTGCATTATATTGTAAAATGTAATTGGGCAGCATAGGCTAAAGAGTTAGTTTACCAGCAGTTAGGTGGAGATCAAGTGTCTGGAGAGCTTCTCAACATTCCAGTGCTGCCACCTTCACAGCAATGAAGGCTCCCATCAGAGGTGCAAAAGTCCTGTCTCATGGATGACTGACACTGTTGATTAGTCAGTGAAACTCTTTCTCTTGTTAACTGCTTCCAGGCTACTGCACTATTTCCGAGGACATCACCACCTGGAAGAGATTATGTACAATGAGAACATGAGGCGCTCGCAGCTAAAGACGCTGTTTGACAAGTTCCGCAGTGTCCTTGTGGTTACCAACCATGAAGATCCCATTATTTCAATCTTTCAGTCACCGATGGACTAGCTGTGCAGACAGTGTTTCAGCAACTGGAAAATGTGTCAGTTTAGGAGAAGTTAATGGCCTGCTGGGCTCACGGCTAAGTGGTCAAAGACGTTTTAAAACAAAATGCCTTGACTACAAGATGTTTTCTCTGTATGAGCCAAATGTTTGTTTACAGTAATAAATTATTTTGTATATATCAGACATGCCTAAAGGGTTTTTTTGTGAATATTGGAAGTGTGTGCAGTGTTTGGTGGAGGCTTCACTTCATCTTCCCGTGCCCCAGATGTGTTAGATCATCTGTGCTGTCCTCAGACGGGCACAGCGAGTAATGATCATTCCAGACCTTGAGCTACCTCTCCTTAGGAATACCTGATGTGGAAAGAAAAAAGGAAGAGTCTAAACATCAGACAGACTTTTCCTGCTCTGAGGGAAACGTATCAGGCCAAACATCTGTGAAATCACTGAGTTGGAAATTTCCCAAGTGTGAATGTTTATTAAAAATCACAGATGAAACCAAACGAAACAGAACCCCACCTCCCCATTTTTTTAAACAGATGCTAACAAACCGAGTCTGTAGTTCTTCAGTGTTTTCCCAATCTACTTTCCAGCACAGCTTTGCATCACTACCATAAACACGGTGTGTTAAGCTGCAGCTTATTACTAAATGGTTGAGGAAAACAAGCAACATTTATTGTAGAATCTTCACTGCCTCCAAACTACAAAATTACAAATATACAGTTTAATTTCATGTGTGTGAGACACATCCCAACAAAGCAATCATGTATTTGTATGATTTTTATTCTTCTTCAGTGTTAAACTCTTTAAAGAGATCAGATGGCCGAGGAGTTTCAGGAATTTTCCTGTTAAGTCCTTTTGACATTGTGCTGTCCTGTATCAGGCTTCACGGCATGGGGACTTAAATCGTTCATGACATTTCCAGACAGAGTCTGTCTCTCTGCCTCTTTATTCACAACGCTAACAGAGGGGTGCCCACGTAGATAAAAACGCCACGGCTTCTTGGCCCATTCTCCGTGGGACTCTATTCCGATGCGTGGTGCTGATACGATATCTTGGGGTTTTGCCGGACTTGTGTCGGGATCATTCTCCAGCCACACATCTGGGTCTGAGGCTAAGTCTCGACAGTCAAAACATCGGGGTATATTTAGAGCCTGGCAGAGCTTCGAAGGCCCGTTGCAGAGCTCTTTGTCCTTCAGCTGACGTGCTCCCTCTTTGCGTCTGGCTGCCCTCAGCTGCCTCATGACGGCCTGACCCTGTAGGGGCTCGAGTGAGCGCAGCAACACAGCAGCACCCTCCCCTGAGCAACACAGCACACAATATGCATCAGTCAGCAAGGCTCCACTCTGTCTCCTTCCTTTTACCCTTTAAACAGCGACTATTGAAGCAATGAACTGCTGTTTATGTTTAATGTTGTAATAATGAAGAATGATCAAAACTGGCCTTTTCACATCCATTGTTAACAATAATAAATATATGAATGTAAACAAAATTAGTGACATAATGTACAAAACATATTGCACCTTTGGTGGGTATATAATTTACCTTCACTAGACACATTCATGCATAGGTAGATGCCATAGATTGGATACACGTAGATTGTGCCGGGCTTCATAAACATGGCTGTGTTTCTTTCGGTGCGTTTGCCTCCCGCCGAGTGTGAGGCCTTGTCCTCCCCTCCAAGGTAAGCTTCAGTTTCCACTATTCTTCCTCGCAACTCCGTACCATCTGCACACCTGCGGACCAGCACCTGCAGGAACAAGGGACAGGGAGATTCTTTCTCTATTTCCACAGGATGGTGGGTTACATAGATTTGTCATTTAGCTGAAGGATACTACCTACAAAACACAACTTTGACAATCAAAACCACAACAAGCGCCTTGAGGCGACTTTTGTTGTGATTTGGCGCTATATAAATAAAATTGAATTAAATTGAACAAATGTCTATTTTTAATGTCATGGCAAAAGTCCTATGAAAGCAAAATAATAAGTATCTCTGACCTTATTCTGTTAAGCCAAATATTCCTTTTGCTTCAAAAACTGGGTACGGATGTATTTTCATGAGGTGTACAATGAACGATCAAAGAAAATCCATGCTTGCCAGCATGCCAGTTTTGCTGCTAACAAAAAAAACAAAACAAAAAAACTACACCTCAATCACACTTTCATGAATGAAACATTCCAGCTCAAAATAATTATTGATTTATACTTGTTGGGAATAAAATAATGAAACTAAAAATCACAGCAAAGACAAAGATAGAAATTGAAATTGAGTCACAACTTGCATCACAGTGTGGCTCAGTATTCTGTATAACCCCGGTACACACTCCCAACAATGTGTGGGCATGCTCCTAATGATAGTGTGGGTGGTGTCCTGGTGGATCTACCCCAAGACCAGGATCAGGGTATCAGTGAGGTCCTGAAAAAGTCTGTGGTGCTAACTGCCACCTTTGGATGCACCATAAGATCCCAGAGATTCTCAGTTTGAATCAGTTCTGGGGAACACAAGGGCCAGTCGATGGCATTGATGTCTTCAATACCCAGGAACCGCATACACTTCTGGTTACATGAGACTGGAGCATCGTCCTGCACCAAGTAGAAACTAGGGCGCACTGCGCCAGCATAAGGACAAGGGGTCTGAGGATTTCAAGCAGGGACCGTGATGTGCTCGCACGTGAAGGTCGTTGGGACCCTGCAAGGACATCGCTATTACCTACTGCCAAACCATGCTGGAAGATGCTACAGGCAGAATAATGTTCCCCACAGTATCTCCAGAGTATTTCATATCAGTAACATGTGCTCAATGCAAACTTGTTCTCAATTGTGAGGAAAACAGGGTTTCAGTGGTGGACCTGCAACTTCTGCTCACAACTGTACAGTTCTGGGGTGTGATGGAAAGTCTACTGAAGTATGTTGTGCCACCCTCATGGAGGGTGTTTCTGACAGGTTGCTCAGAAATATAACCATTACACTCTTGAGACTTTGCTGGTAGACACAATAAACCTCCAAAGGCTTGTATGGAAGTGCCATCATGGAAGAAGTGGACTACCTTTGCAGCCTGAATGGTCTGCAGGTATTGTCTCATACTACAAGTAGTGACAAAACTAGAAATAAAATCAGTTGGATAAGGAAAGAGCAAAACCTGACAAATCAGTCCCTTTTTGGGAGACTGCTGTTTTTGCCTCTCCAGTACGCCTGTTGTCAATTTTATTTGCACCAAAGAAGATAAACTAAGTCAAATAAATACACAATGGTTTATGGACAGATTAATATCCCTGAAGTTAGCAGACTTTGTGTTTTTGAAGAAGCATATGTGTTTAAATAAACAAATAAGCAACAGTTAGACAGCGTTAAAAATGGGAAACAGTGCTTATCAACTTAAATACAATCACTGAAAGTAAGTTTATCAGGCACATTCAAAAGTACAGAAGGCAGTTACTAAGATATAAATTGAAAGGTGAAGTTAAAAAAACAACAACTTTAAACTAAAATAAATTTTCTTCCCTACATTTTGTGCCTCCTGAAAAACACACACACACACACACACACACACACATTTACATACAAAGGTGTTAAATTCAGGTGAGAAATCAGCCTACCTTGCCGAGGAAGGCTTTAGCCAAACTGATGCAGGGGTGCTTGAAGAAGTCCTCGCCTAGCCTGTGCTGCTGCTCATTCCCGGTAAAATAACAGCTTCGCTCCGCCTCAGCACTCTGAGCATTTTCACACTGACTAGGCTGCTTCTTAAGCGCGGTTTGTGAGTCCTTTGGCTTCACCTCCGTGTCCTTGTTGTGTTTATTTAACGACACAGTTTGTTCAGATGTTGCCGCCGCCAGCGCTAGCATCTTTCTTTTTCGGGCTGCCATCATCTCATCGTAAATTCAGTAGGTCTACAGATTTTTTAAAAAACACATGTAGGACGGCGTGTATTTATAAACCCAACAATACGTTTATTCAATATTTAGTATTTCATTCACAATACAAAGAGTCTTATGGAAGCCGTTCACGTACTAGCATACAGGAAGTGGATATGATTGTTTTGGTATCTCTTAAAGGGACCGCGCACTTCTTGGAGGTAGTGGGAGACGTTAACCTTCAAGGCTTTCTCCTAGAAAGATTTTATTTTCCCATCTATATTATTTTATATTTCAGTTGTGAAAGAAAAATAAATATTTATGGTTAAGAACAGGTGAAAATAAACATGTTTTGCAAAAAAAAAAAAAATCATGAATGCAGTTTTCTTCTCTTTTTGGGCTGAAAATGTTTAAGCCAGCCACTGACTGTTCATTATGGAGCAATTCTACGGTAATAAGACTGCCTCTAAGAACAAATGTCCATCTTTTTCTCACAAAATGCCTTTACAGTGCATTATGAATTGCGCCCTTCAGCACAGCAGCCACTTTGCCAAAAGACTACCTGACAACCTGTGCCCTTTTCCTGCTGCTGCCTTATCTTTTCAGGCTCATTTGTATAATAAGAGGTTATAAATAGAACCACTCTGCGTGCTCTCCACTGCCTGTGCCCAGGAAGTTGACGGCGCCAGTTTGGCCCCAGGCGCTTTGAGCCCATGCGGCTTTCTGGAAGACTAACAGTATGTGACGTGGTCATGCTACAGACCACAACTTCAGCAGGGAAATACAAGTTTGCTTTTTGGCTACTGTGGAGGCAAATCTCTGGCTGTAAAAAGGAATCAGCCTATTATGATGCAGATGAAAGGAATGAACTGCAAGTCAACTAATAAAAATGGACTTGATGTACCTTTCTTTTTTGACTTTTATTTATTTTATACATGTGAAAGAGGAAAATAAGCACGAAAGTGTCATCTTCCTCATTTGGTCACAGATTCTGTATGGCATTGCACAAAAACAGATGACTGGGACAAATTTGCATGGGTAGTCATTCGGTATCATATTCTGTACTTTCTCTTGTCTCTTTTTTGTGCTGATCAAGCAATAATTTAATCTTGAACCTCTTGAGGTTTGATTATCAGGTTTCCTCAAGAAGCAACACTGTGATCACCGTGTTCATCCAAGGACTGCGCTTCTAATGGAAACCTCAAGTAACTTATTGAGCCAGAATACATTCCAGACAGAAATCTGCTGAGCATGTTCAGTAGAAGTCTCCTGGAATGGCTTGTTGACTTTGTCATGGCTGGTGGGCCAGAGAACA